GGCGTCGGAGCAGGCGTCGGCGCTGGAGTGAGTACAATCGTCGGGACTGTCGTTGGCTTGTCTGTGAGTGGCGACACGTCACCACACCACGAATGGTCAGCAGCCACCATTGTTGCGAGAGCAAGCGTCAAGAGTGGCAGGCGCATCGTCAATCAAGTTGATGAATGACGAATAGATTCAAGGTCGACTGCCACTGAGAGTAGTCGCGCTGCTGCACCCAAGCATGAGGATGGGCAATGCGAGAGGACAAACGGAGCTCGTTCATGTTGCACCAGTTTTTGTTGCATAATAAAACTCGCGATTCTGCAAACTCTGCATTGTTGATATCTGGTCTGCAGGTCTCCATACCAGTATTCTTTGCCACCTTATCCCACGAGCAAGCGAGCGAGTTTGCGCTCATTCGCACCTCGCGTGAAGGTACCGGTAGGAGAGTAGTGTACTACCATACCAGTACACTACATGTACATGTATTTTGTGCCTCCACATCGTACCAACCGCTCCCATTCGATAAAACTTATCGCCAATCCGCTTTTTTATATCCAGGCAACACAAGTCATGTTCAGCTGTCAGGTGGACGTAATTTGCACATCGCATTCATCACAATGTCCAGCCAAAAGCCAAGCTTCCATTTGAGTGTACCCACCGCATATCACGACGCGGTTCGACTCGGTGTTATCCTCGAGTCCCCGGCCTATTAACATCAGCAACCAAGCCTATTTCAAGCGAGCGGTGTGTCGATGTTGACACCGATATGCACCGCTCCAAAGGTGAGACCAGACCGCGCGAGGGTGCTAGGACTCAGTAATGTTGAAGGGCGATCCTACAGCCATTATATCGCCATTACATATCGGGACTCGTGCGCGCAACGATACTGTACCTACTACTTCCAACAGACAACTGTTCGCATTGCGTTGTTGCGTCTTTGCATACCGTTCTGCCATAGGAGCAGGCGAGCTCGAAAGAGCGAAAGTACAGTAGTATAACTAGAGTGCGTTGGTGTATTGACACGGATACCTATTGAAAGGGCTATTTTTCTTAGTCCATCGTGGGGCCTTCAAAGCACCTCCGTCGGTCTATTATGAGCCCATAGACACGCAGTATGAGACTTCGTGAGGCCGATGTACTATCCCTTGCATAAGTCGAGCACGAAAACACGCGGGCAAGTTGAAGCAAATATGTTGAGGAGCACGCACCTTACTCCCAGCGGCCAGGTGCTAGCATTGCAGCATGCTTGACTCGCATCAAGGCACTGGTAGTAAGTAGTACTACCAGTGCCTTGATACGGGCGCTTCCCCACAGAACATAAGCATGGTCAGCACTAGTGTAAAAGGCGATCACTACAGGTGAAGGGGACTGCTGCATCAAGAAGCATAGCGCCAACTGCAGGTCAAGGGGGGCTAGTTTAATAATGAGGTAACAAAGCGAACGGCTATGCGGCGACGCAGCTCGATACATATCTGTGAAAAGTGCAGACAGATCTGGCCGTACTCGATAAAGATGGCAGTGTTGAGCGAGACCTGACGATATGCACGCGATCCGGTGCTTGGGTCCTAGCCGGCCACCTTTGTTTAGGATACCACCGCAGAGCCCGAGATCAAGATGCCTGTCGCAGGTGAAACGGTCGCGAATGATCTGGTATTGCGTGAGGGCCGAGTTTTCATGTGCCGCACACAGTGTGCTCTAGCCGCCAAGTGTCGGTCGCTAGGGCTCTCCCATTCTCTCTCTCTATCTATCTCTGACGTATCACCCTGATGAACGCCGTAAGGTGACCCTTGCCGGCGTGGTGGCGCGTTGTGAAATCACACGATCGCAATTACGGGCGTTTGATTGGCTCAATAATATCCGCATATCCGGATAAAGTGGCGAAGTGCAAACGCGGAATCCGAAAGTCCTGCAATGGTCGGCGTGCTCTTCCTTTGCTTGGGCAACATTTGCCGCAGCCCCGCGGCCGAAGGCGTCTTCAAGGGGCTGGTCGCGCGCGATGGCAAGACGTCGGCGTACGACATTGACTCGTGCGGCACGGGCGGCGGCGCCTCCAACTGGTACAAGCCCAACGGGTTCTCGTACCACGAAGGCGACAGCGCCGACTCGCGCATGAAGAAGGAGGCCAAGAAGCGCGGGTACACGCTCAGCAGCAAGTCGCGCCCGCTGACGCCTGCTGACTTGCGTCGTTTTGACCATATCATTTGCATGGACAGCAACAACGTGCGTGCGGTGCACGAAGCGGCGACGTTCTGGGGCCCCGAGTACCTCGCACTCGCCAAGGCCAAGGTACACGCTGCTGCGATTTTATCATCCTGCATGATTGAGGGCGATGCGAGTAGGTTTCGCTCATGACCCAGTACTGCATTCTCAACACGTCGGCGACCAAAGTGCCGGATCCGTGGTACGAAGGCGGCTTTGACACGGTTCTGGACTTGCTCGAAGACGCGTGCGAAGGCCTCTACACGAAGCTCGAGCACAGCTAGAGCGAGTTGTCTCCACGCGTTGCACAGTGTTCGAAATGACAATGTGGCAATACAGATACTTTGGGCGCGGACGCCCAACTAACGCAAAATGAGGAATTGAACCGGCAGCGCACCTTCGGAGGCGCCTCACAAGGTGGCACCTAAGAGTGGGCATTGCATGCTCTGCTTCAACCAGCGCGACCGCCGACAATGATGGCCATTGGAAGGTCCGAGGGCCAACAGCCAGTTCTCGTCTTCCTGAGCCGGAAAGGGCTGCGCATACGTAGCGACTTCGATAGTTCCGACACCGAGTGCTTGTTTGATGGAAGCAAAGTGGAGGAGGTCGAGGAAGCGATATGGGAGGCGACTGTATGGTGTATTACATTAACCAGGTGCCATCGCTAAACACCGTCGTATTGTCCATGTAATCTACAGACGACCTCGGTTCCTCAATCCTTTCGAGTAGATAGTTTAGTTGTCCCAGCCGGTCGTGGCGGGGGCAGCAGCCGTGGCGTCCCAGCCGCCGGCGGCGGCTTCGGCGCCCCACTCACCGCCAGCCGTGCCCCACTCAGCGGTGGGCTCGGCCGTGTAGAGCGTGGGGGCTTCCGTGGCGGCTTCAGCGGCGACGGCCTCGTTGGTCCAGCCAGCGCGGCCCATGGCCTCGTCGGCGACGCCCGTCTGGGCCTCCTCGGCCTTCTCGAGCTCCTCCGGGTCACGGTAGAAGAAGAGGTCGACCGACACCTCCCAGGGGAGGGCGCGCGAGATCGTGCCGCGGAGGCGGAGGACCTCACGCGAAAGGAGCCAGTAGAGGAGACCGATCGAGAGCTTGCCCTTGTTGTTGGCCGGGATGGCGACATCGACGTAGCGGAGCGGCGAGTCCGAGTCGCAGAAGGCAATCACGGGCACGTTGACGTAGGCCGACTCACGCACGGGCTGGGCATCGGTGCGGGGGTCCGTGATGATCAAGAGGCGGGGTTCGCGGAACTGCTTGGTGATCTGGTTCGTGAACGTACCGGGCGTGAAGCGACCGGCGATGGCCTGGCAGCCCGTGTACTGGGCAAACTTGAGGACAGCGCGCTGGCCGTACGGGCGGGCCGAGATGGCAATGACATCGGCCGGGTTCTCGACGGCGACGATGATCTTGGCGGCGAGCATCAACTTCTCCCACGTCTTGCCGACGTTGATGATGTGGATGCCGTCGTTGCGGCGGCGCCAGATGTAGTCGCCCATCTGAGCATCGGCGTTGCGCGTGCCGATGTGCACCATGGCGGCGAGCATCTTCGAGATGTCTTCTTCACGTTGGGTCAACATGCTGGTATGTACTAAGGCGATGAAAAGGATTAGTGAGCCCTCGAGCGGCCAAAGACGCCTGCTTGCGCAGATTACCAACCAACCAATTGGCCAATTGGTTGCCACTGCCCCACTCACTTGATGTTTGTATGCTCTCCACCCGGAGTTTTTCCGGTGGCAGCTAATGTTGGCCATTGCCATATTTACCACAACTACCTGCCACCTCGTCGCTTGCCTATCAAAGGCCGAGGATGCAAGGTGTATTGACCCTTGGAGGATGTTATGGGAGCCGGTAGACACGCTCGTGCCCGCCCCGCTTAGCGGCCTTCGAAAGCAGCGCGCCACTGCTGCCGCAAGGGTCTCATATGTTGTGTACTGTCATCATTCTATCGCGCCAAGCCACGACGACGACATGTAGTCACGTCGTCCTACCAAATGTCTAGTCGAGAAGATGCTTCTAGCACTGATATCGTCCTTCTACTGTACGTCTAAAAGCTCATGGGCTTGGGTCGCCACTCGCGCTGGTCCTTGTGTTTGTAGCGGACGAGTTTGATGCGCTTCACGTCCGAGGACGCCAGCCGGAGGACGTGGCACTGGCCGGGCACGAGCCGAAGCCACTCGTCGCGGCCATCGGCGAGGTACTTGACGTGGTTCATCTGGCGTGTTGGACAGTACTCGAGCACGCGCGCGCGGTGCCATGTGTCATGGCCTTTCCAAAACACCTCGACGAGGCCGCCTACGAGTTTGGGGCCGTCCGGGATCTTGCGACTGCGCGGTGGCGGGAATGATGGGACGCCATCGCCAACGTCTACGAGGCGCGCGACGGCCTCGGGCACAAGCGGCTTGATCGGGAATCGGTTTTGACTGTACAGGCGCGGCGTCACTTGAAAGAGTGTCGAAGCATCGGTCGACGACGGCAGCGTTGGCGTGACCACGCGCGCACTCCACTTGAGGTGCTCGAGCAGCAGCGCCGTCGAGCTCATGATAAAGCCATAGTCGTCGGCGCCTTCCTTGGCCACATGGTTGTCTTTGCGAACTTGCTTGGCCTCGATCGCTTCGAGCGCCAAGTCCTCTTCGCTCACAAACCGCTTGGCCCCGAGAAGGCGGTCTGTCGGCAGGTGCTTGTCGCAAAAGAGAGCCATCGGGTTGGCCGGACTCGCGGCGTCGCCGGGCGCGCCGATCCAAAGACCGGCTTCGGCGGCGCAGTAGACGTGGTACGCTGTCGCACAGTTGGGCTCTTCGCAGAGGACGACGGCGCCGCCCTTGCGCTTGCAGAGGTTGCACAGTGTCCGGAACCGGGACGGGTCGAGGTCCATGATCCCGTCGATGGGCTCGAGCGTCGGCACATCGCGAAACGTCAGCTCAGGGATCGCGAGGGCGCAAATCGCGTGGGCCCACCGGCGGTCGCTCGTCGGCTTGAGCGCGCCGCCTTCGCGAAGACAGAGGCAGCATTGCAGTGGCGCGCCGTACGCGCAGGACGGACAAAACCAAGGTCCGTTGGCGTCGTCGCGCAAGACGTTGCCGTAGCACTCTTCGTGGATGCGCGTGTTGCAGGCGTGGTTGCCGCATGCGAGCACGCGGCCGTTGGACCAGAGACCGCAGCAGATCTCACACTGCTCAAGTGGCGCCTGCTTGGGCACATAGCACGCGTCGACGTACTTGCGCAGCTCGACGAGCACGTCGTTGTCCAGCGCGTCCAAGTCGACACGGCTCGTGAGCTGCCAATTGCTCTGCTTCCGCACTGCATAGTCGTCGCAGTGCGTGGGCACGTCGATCGCGCCGACGTCGTGCTGTGCCAAGTGGCACCGAAGCAGCACGCCCTGGAGGTCGGGCGATGTGAGCTGCGCAATGTCACGCGCCAGTCGTCGCCGATCGTCCCAGTCCATCGTCGCCATCTCTACTATCGGGCATCATGAGTCGTGCAAGTGATGACCCGCAGCTCACCGCTCAGACCACGTCCGGGAAATCTCCGGGTTCAACATGGTTGGGCGGATGCTCCTACGCAATAGGGTATTTTATCGTCCTAATATTGGAAGTGGACCATTGCATCGAGTCATCGAAAGATACCGATTCACTCTGGCAGACGCGATGGTGGGCGCAGCGCTCTTCGAAGCCATGGGCTGGCATGCGAGCGACGGCGTCCCGCCGCTCGAGCATCTCAAGGACGACGTCGACGACGATATGGCGGCGCTGGACGAGGCCGCGGAAGCGGCGAACCAAGGCAACACGCTCTTCTCGTACGCCGTGTTGCTGGGGCTGCTTCTGTACCTTGGTGCATGCTACGTCGCGTTCGCCTTCCCGCCCGAGGCGGTGCCGTGGGAAGTCGAGTTTGCGATCCCATACGACCCGGCAGCGATGGCTTCCAACTGCTCCGTGGCTTTTACGCGACTGCCAGCCATCACATCGTCGCGCGTCCTTGCATACGAGATCGCCGCCCTCTCCGACACCACAATGTCCCACCAAGTGCTGCAATACACCATCCACGTCGACGATGTCCTTGTTCTGACCGACTTGGCCATCTTGCCACGAAACGAGACCGTGGCCTTTACAACGCACGAGCTATCGGACCTATCCTTCGGGCACCATGTCGCGTCGATCGAGCTTCTCGTGCCGCTGCCCGGCGGGCACGAAGAGCGCATTGCGACAACACGCCGCTTCACGCTCGTGCCCGACGGCCACAAGGTCGTCAAGGTTGTCTTGCCGACCCGACAAGCACGCAAAGCGCTGTCCCTGGACGCGCTCGTCGCCGCGTCACGCCCGCGCATTGTCGCACCCCAAAACGGCACCGTGCTGCGCTTCCACGAGACAAGTGATCGGAGCGTGCGCGTCCGGTACCGCCGTCCGAGTGACGGCAATACGACGCTGCTGCTCGATGGCCGTCCGCAGCCGTTGGTGTTGCTGCCTTCCCCGACCGAGTGGATGGCGACGACGATGCTGGCGGACGTCGGGCCCGGCAGGCACGTCGTGACGCTGCTCGTGGACCGTGACGTGGCAGACCACGTGACGTTTACTGTTGCCAGCGAGAAGGTCGACGCACCAATGTAGCGAAATGTATCTACCAATTCCGACCTTTTGTGTTTTCGCGTCCCGCGATTTCTCACTTTTGATGTTTTCAAAGACAAAAATAGGGGCCTCAAATCATGAGAAATCAATGTTTCAAGCATCAATTTAGTCGGTCGACGAGCGGAGGATGTCCGAGTCACCAGCGTCGATGATGCACATGCACGAGACGCGGAAGTACTTGCCGCAAGCCGTACCGAGGTCGTTGTTGTTACCGGCGAAGTGGTGGACACCCGTCTTGGCAAGCATCGAGTAGTACTCGACCTCCGACTTGCGGAGCGGCGGCGTGTTGCTCGAGAGGATGACAAGCTTGGCTACAAGCACAAAACGTTATGAGCCATTGGCACTCGATGGCGTCAAGGCGGTGGAGCGTACCCTTGCCGTTGCGGAGGTTCTTCAACGTCTCCTTGTAGCCAAGGGCGACCTTGCCCGAGCGCATGACCAACTGCAAGCGCGAGTTGATGTTCTCCGTCGTCTTTTTCTAAGGACAGAGACGGGTCAGCGCGCCGCTGGAATCGCGGAGAGCGGGCGACGGGGCCCTGCGCACCAGGATGCGAGGCAGGACCGACGAGGCTTGCTCTCCAACGGGTATTCACATACCGTCTTCTTCGAGGCCACCATCTTGTTTCTCAGTGATTTGTAGAATAAAACCCTCCACAAGATGAACTGTGATGCTCACCAACCAGCGCGCGGCCAACGACCGGATACCATCCGGAGAGCTCTTGACCAATACTTTTGCTCGGCCAATCCAACGCCTCGAAAAGTTATACGCGACGCCGATTGGTGCGTGTCGCATACGTGGCAGCGGCAGCTTGCGACGCCAGAGCGGTGCCGTCGGCCGACGAGCGCACGAGCCGCGACGCAAGAAAGGGAGCTACGCGTCGGTGTCGTGGACAAGCGGGGCTTATATGGCAACGGACCGCCTCGTACGACGACCGTCAACGCGCAGTCGATCGGGGAGGCGACTCAATTCGCTTGTGGGTCGAGGGAAGCAGTGTACTAGTAGGCGGTATCGGCGGTTTACTCTGCTTGCGCATTGAGATGCTGCATGCTGCATCATTCCCGAGGATGCCAATGGTGTCAACTTGTGTCACGGACAACTCCCAAGGGACTCCGCTCGTGCGTGGGCACGCGCCAGTGGCCCAATCTGGTGTTCTTCACCTTCTCGTCATTGCCGAAGCTATCGCCATGCAGTGAGAAGACGCAGTCTTGATGGAGCTGACGAACTACCCCTGCCTCGGCTCCAACGCTTTCATAAATTCATCAACAAACACCATAAGCCTAGGTGAACCTGTCGAGTGTATCGAGCGACTCCATGGCTGGACGCAACACGAGCATTCGACTTCGAGCATTCGACTACGAAGCTGTTGATCGGACAATGCGTAAGAGGAAGTAGCTTTTGATGTTGTCTGCGTTTGTTTAGTCCATGCCCGTTTGGGGCTTAAATTTATTGGCTTTTTTGAGCTTGTCGACCATTTGCCGGTCTTCGTCAAAGCGCTCGCGCAACGTCTTGAGCTCTACAACGCAGGATGAGTTATTTGTAAGACGCATGCAAATAGCGTACGGCCGCGCTTCTTCTCGCGCAGCTGGAAGCGGTAGAAGTCGGTGAGCTCCTTGCTCTTCTGCTTCTTCCGGAACGGCAGGAGCTCCGCGGCCTCTTGACGCTTGCGCTTCGTGTTGACCACCATCTGAAAGCCATCGTCGTCGACGCGGTTCTTCATCTCTTCCCGCTCCTTGCGCTCCTACAGCACATACATGAGCTATCGACCCTTGCATTGCTTGAAAGGGTACCGCTTCTTCTTCCGCGTCAAAGTTCATCATAAACTCGTCGGCGTCGTTCTTGAGCACTTGGAGACCCGGGCGCGCGGCTTGGTACGCTGCCTTGGCGGCCTCGACCACGTCCATCGGCTCGAACGCCGCGTCGTCCTCGGTCGCCGGCAGCGCCGAGAGCTTCAGAAGCTTTGTGAGCGACGCCTTATCCTTGAAAACGACGTGCGCGTTCGTCGCGACGCCCGTCGACTCGGCGCCCAGCGCCACGTGCTGGATCGGCCCCACGCGCGAGAGCAAGGCGGTGAGGCTCTCGACGCTCGAGTGCCGGGGCAGGTTGACCACATACGCGGTGCGGTCGGCCGCCAGCTCGGTTTCGCCGGCGCCGTCCGACTTGGCCGTGTGCTTGGTCACATAGATGTAGCTCGCGAAGGCGCCTTCGTCGGCCGTCGGCAAGGCCACCATGTTGTAGCCCGCGATCTTGCGGCCCATCTTGTCGTCTTGTCAAGCTCTGCGAACGAGCCAAACCTGCGAATTGGTCGTCGTTTATTCATTGGTCATATTTCACCAACTATCCTCCAATGGCATCGTGGCATGCCAGCTCCGTGCAAGCCATTGGCTAGAAAGCATAGGCTGCGAGTCGCCAAAAACACCCAACTTGAAGCACGATATAATATGCTGTGCTGTCGTAAAGTGGCGTGAAAATAGCCGACTACGGCGGCGGTTACAAAAGTGGGCATGCCCATCTTGTATGCCGGGCCGCGCCCGGGGTCGCGCGACGACGATGGTGGCCTCTCGACCAAGGTACCTGGCTTCCTCAGCCCAGCGTCGCTCCGAGATCTCTTGCCACGGAACGCCGCGCGCATGCACCACAAGCGGCCGCGGCGCGAGATGCCCGCCTTGCCGCCGCCGCTGCCTAACGCCGCCAGCGCCATCCGCGCCGACGACACGGCGTGGCAAAAGCAGGCGTGGCCAGACAACGCCCATTACCGAGCTCGTTTGCGGTCCGACGCCAAGCTTCGCATTGCGCGCGGTGTCCTCGACAACAATACGGTCCAAGACCATGTCCGCTGGATCAAGAACAACGTGCCAGTTCGATCGCTGCCCAAGCTCAAGATCTCCAACCACACCAAGATCACGTCGCTCACCGACGTCTTTGAGCGACTGCTGCGTCACCGCATGCAGGCTGCCTTTGACCACTGGCAGCACGGTGTTGCGACCGAGAAGCACGCCGAGGCCATATCTGCGTTTACAAAGAGCCGCGCCTTGGGATCGCTCCAGGGCATCTGGGAGCGCTGCTGGCTCGCAACTCGCAACCGCGCTTTTGCGTCTCTCGCCACGGATTGGATGTGTGCCCGCGCAGAAGAGCGCGACGCCGCGGCGGCCGAGATCCAGCGGCACTGGCGCCGGCATCGCCATCGGCACACGCTCCTGCACACGCGTCAGGACCTATCGGCGCGCTGCCTGCAAGCCAATGTCCGTCGCCGCTTGTTTCGAAAGCGCTTTGCTCGCTTTCTAAAGACGGCCCGTCAACACCGCGCGGCGGCACAGATCCAAGCCGCGTTCGCGAGGCATCGCGTGTATCAAGCGTACAAAATATGCTCGCAACGGCTCGCACACGAGGCGGCGGCGCTGCGACTGCAGCGCTGGCTGCGCACGTCCGTGTACCGCAAGCAGTGGCTCTTTCGACGGGCAGCGACGCTGCGCTTGCACGATGCGGCCGGTGTCGTCCAGCGCGCGCTTCGAGCACACCTCGCACGGACGCTTTTGTATCGCGCGCGATGCTACAAGGTCGCCGCACGCATTCAACGCGCGTGGCGCGCCTACGTTGCGTACTGGCTGCGTCGACGCAGTCAGCTCTTCGATCACCTCCAATCCGCCTTTGCACTCGGGACACGGCACCTCGCGGTGATTCTCTTGCAAGCACGGCTACGTCAATGGATCGCCATGCGTCATGTCGCGCGGCGGCGAAGCCAGTTGGCGGCCGCGCTTGTGCTGCAGTGTGCGTGGCGCCAGTGCTACGCCCGGCAAGTGCGCACGCAACGGCTGCAAGAGCTGCGCTTCGCCCAGTGGATGGCGGCAACGACCGTGCAGCACGCCTACCGATGCTACCGCGACCGCCTTCTCTTTCGCCACGTCCTTGCAACGTCGTGCGTGCCCTTGTACTTGCGAGCGGCGCGACTGACGTCTGCGGTACGACTCTGGACTGCGAAGCGCGTCGGCTAACTCGGCACTAGGTCCAACGGCGCCTTCTGTACAGTCGCTACAAGCCCTTTCTCGAATCGAGCGCGTCGTCGTCGATTGCGTATGCGTGGAAGAAGCACTGTCGGTACGAAGGCTACATGCGGGCTCGACGCGCGTGGGCGTCGAGCGTCTTGCAGCGGGTGTGGCGCAGCACCTGCACGGTGCGCGTCTTCAAACGGCATCTCCGGCACTGCCACCACAGTGCCCGCCGCATCCAACGCATGGTACGAGCTCGTCGTTGGCCCGTTCTCAGGAAGTCTGCAGGTTCGGTCGCGACTCGCAAGAAGCCGCGCGCGGCTCTATATTGCACGCATGCAAAAGGTGGCCCTTGACGCACTCCTTGCACGGCAGAACCAAGCGGCGCTTCGAATCCAAGCTGCGTGGCACCGGCACCAAGGCCACCTCGCGCGCTTTCTTCGCAAACAAGCCGAGCTCATTGAGCGCGCGCGCCGTCACGACGCTGCCATTGCGATACAGGTCCAGACGTCGTCGTCTCATGGCTCCTCTCAACTTGTCAAATTAGACATTCGTGCGCAGTCGACGGGCACGGCATGCGTCCAAAGTGCGTCTTGCGCAAGGCGTCGCCACGATTGCGCTTCTTGTGCGGGCGCGTCACGATGCAGCGACAACGCTACAGCGGTTTGTACGAACGCAAAAAGCCACCAAGCTTGGACGGGTATTCCAACATGTCGTATTTGCGCGCGTAGCCACTCGGTGCTGGGTAGATTATGATGACAAAGCTACGGCTGCAGCGCCATGCGGCGGCGCAACGGCACAAGCGCCAAGCCGTCATTTCGGCCTTTCTAAGCGAGAGCTCGGTTGCGCGTGCGGAGGAGGCGGTGCGCATGGCCGCTGTGCGCGCCAACCACGACAAGGTCGAGGCTGCCAAGGCGCGGGCGGCCGCTGAAGCCGCCGAAGCCAAGCGACTGCGTATCGAAGCCAGCAAAGCCAAGGCGCGCCCGCCGCCGCGCGAGTACAAGACGAAGAAGAAGACACAAACGCCACCGGACGCAGCGACCACCGCCGCGTGGGTACCAGCCTACGACGCGGCGTCGGGCCAAAGCTACTACTACAACACCCTCACGGGCGAGTCCAAGTGGTCGCTCGATGCATCGGCGTAGGGCTCTCAATGTGATGTGTCAAGCAAAGAGGAGCCCAATGGATCCGTGTCGATTTGCCCAACAAAGAAACTCGCGGCGAAAGCATTATCTTTCAATGCGTCGGGTGGCATAGACTAGGGGTAGGGTGTAGCGTCGTGCCAAAGGTAACGACGTGGACGACGATTAATCGTTCGTACGTGTCGCGCCAGGGGGCACGGTGCTGGACAAGCGTGATCACGCTACGTTGTGTGTTATCATGACGCTAACACACGCAAGTTCACTCGGCAATGCCATCACAAAGAACCAAAAGGACTGGATGAACCAATCACCGTGATCGTTCGCCTCTCCAAACCATAGCCACAAGCCACACAGCACCCCGCGCTGCGTGCTTGAGAAATGCCTTCTTTGCATTGGCATTCGTACTGTACCGACACGCGAAAGCAGATCCGCGACGACATGCGACCGATCTTTGCGCACTTCATTTTCAGACAACGAACGTCTGGCACTCAGCCAGCAGCACTTGAGATCCTGCCAGCAGCGCTAGCCAGCAGGGTCATACATGATGACAATGTCGGGTCCCCAACACGCCTTTTCTTTTCATAGAGGCATAACGGTTCGCGCCGTGGGGCGACACGGTTCATCGTAGAGTCGCCACGTGATCGACCAAAAGTATCTTGCGCAGTCGAGCCACGGATTGGTCTGGGTGCTTCTGGGTGATGGGCTTCACAGTCCTTTTCAAGCATATAGTAGTTTCCATCGCGCTCGATTAGGTGATGTTTGGTGATGTTTGAAAGTGGTGGTGCAGCATCGCGGACCCTTTTGTTTGTAAACACGATTTGGACCTCGCTCGATTCAGCGCGACGAATCTAGATTCTAGATGTGAATGGCTACTAGTACTAGTACACGAGTATCAGCCCAATGATCAGCACCTCTGTTTGTCCCAGCGACTGCAAGCCCTCTCCAGGGGCACTGCGACCCGCCTACGCATGTCCTACAGGTTACAGCCTCCCTCCCCCCGCCGTTGAATAAACGCCCAGTCCCGGTGCTATACGCACTGCAATAAACAAAGCGTCTTCAACCTTTGGTAATGGTCCAGGGCATTGCATCGACACAAGCATCGGTGTCGTGTCCGTCGCAACGACCTGCGCGTCCCGTCCAGGCAAGTGGCTCGTTTTTGGCTATAGCCTGTATGCACACTGGTTCTTTGGTTATTCCTCGCCACACAACCGCTTGACGTCTGCAAACAATACGCTGCGTAGCGTCGTCGTCGTCTTCTTTTTTTTCTGATCAGACTGGAGATGTAGACCCGACAAGATTGAAGCGTGAGAGACGTGCGTCGACCACGCAACTCTCTCTCTTTCGCTTGGTTATACTAGGAGTATCTTTTGCCGTGGACCGACTAGGATCGCATGTCGCTCAAGAGATGTGCTTGTAGAAGGCAAAGCGTATGAATACTGCTTGACATCGGACCAAAGACCAAGCGATGAGAGCCGCAAGATCGCGGCAACGTCGGTGGATTTGTAATCACGTGTGCCGGACCACTCTTCTTGTGGATGTGTGTGGTGGCGCCACCAACGTACCACAGGCACATATGCAGTGACACACGGTGCTTCCTCACATATCCGCTTGGCTGCGATGGCTTTGATAGCGGTGGCTGCGACCTTTTCTGGCGACGAGGTCAACAAGCGCGACAACGCCGGTAGGTATAGTGTGGGACAATGGCCCCTAACCAAAATGTTCTGTGGCGGTGAGGCCGCGTGTCCTAATCTTATGGTGCGATCGACGCCGGTATCTCATCCAGTACCTGGCCAGCACCTGGCATAGCGCTGGATGGTTTTACCCTTCACACGAACGGCACCGAAAGGAGTTGCCCGGGAAAGTGTATGCTTTCATACTCCAAGTGGATGCGGACTTAGGGACTTTCTCCTTGATCCAGTTGAAGTTACGTCCTGGGATAGGTGGCCATCGGATAAGTTGTCCACTTCCGTCGCCCAGCTGCTGCTTCTTTGCTTCGATAAGGATCATACAAAGAGCAAGATGTGAACGCTAAAGGCGCGCCTGAACTTCGACTTGCAGCTTCGAGTTGAGACTGGCCAAAAGTGACTGGCCAATAAGAATCTGAGAATGCGAAGGTACGGTCAGGAAGCGTTGGATACGTGGGCGCAGGCAATTCCAGCTTTGCGAGCGAATTCGAGCGGACGGTCGGCATGTCCCATCCTCGGACATAGCCAACCTCTGTTTGGTCATCATTTCCTCTTTTGCACAGGCCAACGCACATGGGATTCATCGACGACCTCTTCCGCACCAAGCCCATCGAAGTCATCGAGGCCGAAGAGCGCAAGGAAGAGCTGCCGCGTGAGCTCGGACTTCGTGATCTCATCCTCATTGGTATCGGCGGTACCGTCGGCACCGGTGTCTTTGCGACGACCGGCGATATCATTAGCGGCGCGGCTGGCGCGGCTGCGTTCGTCTCGTGGCTCATTGCCGGCTTTTCGTGCATTCTTAGTGGCTTTGCCTACATGGAGATGAGCTCGCTCATCCCGTCGTCCGGTTCGACGTACGCGTACTCGTACCACGTGCTTGGTGAGCTTCCGGCTGCGATTGCGGCGTGGCTCTTGACGCTCGAGTATGGCATGTCGGGCGCCGGTGTCGCTCGCTCGTGGGGTACCAAAGTCCAGGAGTGGGCCAAGGAAGGTCTCCCGGAAGGCTCGACCAAGGTCGACTGGCTCAACATGGAGTACTACTCGTTCCTTGCGTGCCTCATCTTTGCGCTCTCGGTCGGCGTCCTCCTCGGCGGCATGAAATTTGGCAAGATCTTCATCAACGCATTCACCGGCACCAAGGTCGTCATCGTGCTCTTCGTCATCATTGCCGGCTTTGCGATGACGGACACGGTCAACTTTACGCCGTTTGTGCCCGACTTTGTCCCAGCACACGATGACGAGCCAGCGCGCTTTGGTGTCCAAGGTATCATGCTCGGTGCGTCGCAGGCCTTCTTTGGCTACGTCGGTTTCGATGAGGTCTGCTGTCTCGCCGCCGAGGCCAAGGACCCGCGCCGCGTCATGCCCCGCGCTGTCATTGGCACAGTCCTTGGCACGATGATCCTCTCTGCGTTTGCATCGCTTGCGCTCTCGGCCATGATGCCGTACGACGCGGCGACGCCGTTTGGCTTCAACTTTTCGGCCGGCTTCCGCTACGTCGGCCTCGATTGGGCAGCCACGATCGTGCACATTGGCGAGACGGGCACGATGCCGATTGTGGTTCTGATCGCGTTCCTTGCGCAGCCCCGTTTGATGTACGCCATGTCGGTTGACGGTCTCTTGCCCAAGATTTTTGGCAAGGTCGAGAAGAACGGCAACCTTTTCTGGAGCACGTTCCTCTGCGGCAGCTTCTTCTGCCTTGTTGCGCTCTTTGTGCCGTTCTCGTACCTCTGGAACCTGGTGTCGTTTGGCATTTTGATGTCGTTCAACATGACCAACTCGGCGCTCATTTTGAACCGGACGCGCGACTCGTCGGCGCACATTGTGTACAAGCTCACGGGCGCGCTCGTCGCGACGTCGTGCCTCTCCATGTTCCTCTTTGAAAAGGGGTATGTGGAGGCCACCGACTCGGCGACCGGGTACCTCGTCGCGTCCATGATCTTGCTTGCACTTGTGTTTGCGCTGGCGATCATCATCTTTGTCAAGTGCCCGCAGAACGTCGGCCCCCGCGAGTGCTACCGCGCGCCGCTTGTGCCGTTTGTGCCTGCGCTTGCGATCACGATCAACTGGTTCCTCATCGCGCAGCTTCCGGCGCGCGACATTGGTTATGGCTTTATCTGGATCGGCGTCGCGATTGTCTTTTACTTTGCCTACGGCTTCCGCAACAGCGCGGGCAAGGACGGCTGGGCCACGATGCTCAACGACGGCTACATTGGCCACAACGCCGTGCGCCCGTCCATGAGCTCGATGATGGCTGACCAGAAGGAGTCGATTCTGAGCGCCAAAATGGGCCTCCAGGCCAACGAGCATTAAAGCGTATTGTACATTGTAGACGAATCATTTTTAAAAATTCACGTGTCGTTCAACTACTTTTGGGCTCCCGCTCTTCGTACCGGTCGTTTGCGCAGTTATTGTCATGGCGTTATTATGTCTGGGGCTGGGTTAGCTCTATGTCCAGGGCTGGGTCAGCCCTAAGCTGGACGTCGCGCGGCAGTGTTCTGCACTCAGACTCAGTGTCGATATGCAGTACCAATGATGCAGAACTAGTAGATTCTCGACACGACAAAAGTCGGAATCCGCTTTCCATTGCATTTGGAAGCGACTAGACACTCGCATTCTCGCTCGACCGTAAGGGGCGTCCATCCGAATCAAAGAATACCGAGATGAACCGTTATCATCAATGAATCAATGCGGGTTGATGGACCTCGTATCCAAACCTGCCTCGCAGAGGCTCTGGTGCGCGGCAAAAGCACGTCGTCTTGTGCCTAGAACGTTGGCAAATTCATTGCTGCTTCTTGCTTTCTGCACAGGGCTTGGAGGGCTTCCGTCGGTATGGCTTGGTCACGGCTGCCGTCCGTCCGGCGAGGCGATGATGGTGACTTTGTCGTTGAACCGCGACGTGGTGCTGCTGCCAAATTACTGCAAATCCATGGCTTGCTTGGACATGATCGAAGCGGATCTACTGCGGCGAGCGCGATGCCTCTTCCATCGTTGCTACAACCAAGAACTACTCAAAGGGTCGTCTGCACGAGAAGCAAATGCCGATGCGACGTTGCCTGTCGACTCAGACGGGAGGCGACTCAGACATGGGTGCTGCGGTGGACGTCATCCCTGTACATGACGCCTGCGAGCCTCTGTCTCGCTCACGGACGGAGCTCTCCGCGGGAACATCAGCATTGGTCTCGTGCGTTGTCGTCGACCGAAAATATACCATTCGATCTCATGCGATAAACTTTTATTGCACGAGATCGAATGGTATATATTTCGAAAAGTACCAGTAGAGAATAGAGGCAAGTGGACTGCTCAACAAATCAGACACCAACACTCTGACAGTATGAGTTTCGGCATCGAGTGTTGTCCATGGCGTGATCACTTTGATGTTGGTCCACGTTTCTTTACGGTCGGTGCACATCCTGCCAGCCCATCGCAATTTCGCGCCACGTATCCCAAACCCATCTCCTCCAGCACTTCCGCGCACCGCCCAAGCTAATCGCTTGCACTTTTGCATACTGGACATATAGGCAGAAGATGATCGCCGAGCGCCAAGATGAATGAATGGCGACCACCGACTGAGTAGCTCATCCGGCCTGCGCCGTCCACACGACCCACACGACAACGACAAAGCACCACCTTGGAACTGCAGCACGACCCGACCGCACGATCCGTTTGATTCAATAAAACTGCTGTGGTAAAACAAACTGCAGAAGAGTACGCGATGTCTAAATCGCGGCTGGTACTTCGAAGTGCAACATCCGTAAAGGCTGAGAAGATGTCACGTCGTTGAATTCGAATCAGACGGCACAAATAACGCACCTTCGCTACTCAGATAAAGGCCAACCACGCCGACTCATTTCGGCGAAAGAACGTTCATGGTGCGATGCCTACACTTGCAACTCGCTTGTGCGCAAACTAGGAGTCGCAAGACCATGACCTGTGTCCGTTCCATCACGCGTCTGGGTGCGCGTCTGGATGACACATCCAGGTGACGGTTCTCTACGAACGTGTATCCGTGTCCGCGCAGTGTCGCTGACCGACCACACGAATTTGCAGCGGCGAAGAGGACCCGATGAGCCACCCGATGACAACAACAGCTACGAGTTTAAATGGATGGCATCCTCGTTGCAGTACAAACATTGCTTGATATGGCGTGTACTCTCTGTACATGACATAGTATAGACCTTCCTCGGCTGACAAAAAAGCGATGCATTGCAGCGTGCTATCTGGCTTCGTAACAATACCTAGTACGGTATGTATGGCGGTGGATAGTCTGCAGTCAGCGATGTGGTGGGTAAAACGGCATACCTGTCCGTCCCTTACATGGCCCATTCCCTTCCTGCAGCACGGGACGGGAGCTATGAAAAGGAAGTAGCGGGGCATTCTCCACACTGCGCGACCGACCAGATTGCCGAAATGGAGCTGCCTTGGATCCAATTGAAGTTGGGTCGCACCAGCTGGGCGTGGCAGGTGGTATGTGTGTGCCCATCTGATCACGACCAATGCATACAAACCACCCACCAAGCTTGCGGGAAGCCAGAGAGACGTGGGCGATTCGAACATAGCTGGACAACATTTGATTGGTCAAAAATATGTTGACCAATCCGATGCGATTCGAAGTTTTTCTTAGCCAATCCGAGCGCGTGCACCTGCTCTTGAGCTTCAAGGAGCTGGTCGTCCCACGCTGTGCCAGCTGGGACTGTACTTTTTCGCCTTCTCACAAAATGGGTATAGAAACTTCAAGAGAAAAAGCCGAATTTCTATCTCGCAAAAAACAAGATCTTAGTCTGAGTTTGCCGTTTGGGAAGCTCACTTTGCCTTTTTCTTTGTCGGCCGCAGTAGAGCATGGGCATCATCGACACGCTCTTCCGGACCAAGCCGATCGAGGTCATCCACGCCGAAGAGCGCAAGGAGGAGCTGCCTCGTGAGCTCGGCCTCATCGATCTCATCCTAATCGGTATCGGTGGTACCGTGGGCTCTGGTGTCTTTGCGACGACGGGCGACATTATCAGCCAGACCGCCGGCGCCGCAGCCTTTATCTCGTGGATGATTGCCGGCTTTTCGTGCATCCTCAGCTGCTTTGCGTACATGGAGATGAGTTCGATCATCCCGTCGTCCGGCTCGACGTACGCCTACTCGTACCACATTCTCGGCGAGCTCCCGGCCGTCATTGCGGCGTGGCTGTTGACGCTCGAGTACGGCATGTCGGGCGCCGGCGTTGCTCGCTCGTGGGCCACCAAGGTCCAGGACTGGGCCAAGGAAGACCTCCCGATCAACTCGACCAAGGTCGACTGGCTCAATGACGAGAACTACAGCTTCCTCGCGTGCCTCGTCATGATCCTCTCGGTCGCGATTCTCCTCGGCGGCATCAAGTTTGGCAAGATCTTTATCAACACGATCACGACGACCAAGATCGCGGTCGTGCTCTTCGTCATCGTGGCCGGTTTCTCGTTCATCAACACGGACAACCTCTCGCCGTTCGTGCCCGAACTGATCCCCGCGACCGAGAAAGACCCGGCCCAGTTTGGCGTCCAGGGCGTCATGCTCGGCGCGTCGCAGGCCTTCTTTGGCTACGTTGGTTTTGACGAAGTCTGCTGCCTCGCCGCCGAGGCCAAGGACCCGCGCCGCGTCATGCCCCGCGCCGTCATTGGCGTCGTGCTCGGCACGATGTTCCTCAGTTCGTTTGCGTCGCTAGCACTCTCGTGCATGGTGCCGTACGACGCGCCCCTTGACAATGGCCTTTACTTTTCCTCGGGTTTCCAGTACGTCAACGCGACGTGGGCTTCGACGATCGTGCACATTGGTGAGACGGGTACGATGCCGGTCGTCGTCTTGATCTCGTTCCTTGCGCAGCCCCGTTTGATGTACGCCATGTCGGTCGACGGTCTCTTGCCCAAGATTTTTGGCAAGGTCGAGAAGAACGGCAACCTCTTCTGGTGCACGCTCATCTCTGGTGCCTTCTTTACGATCATTGCGCTCTTCGTGCCCTTCTCGCTGCTCTGGAACATGGTGTCGTTTGGCATCTTGGTCTCGTTCAACATGACCAATTCGGCGCTCGTGCTCTCCCGGACGCGCGAATCCTCGGCCAACATTGCATACAAGCTCACGGGCGCAATGGTGGCGACGGGCCTCCTCGCCATGTTCCTCTTCCAGAAGGGCTACGTCGAGGCGGTCGAAGGCGGCAACGGCTACCTCATCGTGTCGATGCTCTTGCTCGCGCTTGTCTTTGTCATCGCGACCATCATCTACGTCAAGTGCCCGCAGTCGGTTGGCCCCATGGACTGCTACCGCGCGCCGCTTGTGCCGTTTGTGCCGGCGCTCGCGATCACGATCAACTGGTACCTCATTGCGCAGCTGCCGGCCAAGGACATTGGCCTCGGCTTTGCGTGGATTGGTGCCGCGATTCTCTCGTACTTTGCCTACGGCTTCCGCAACAGCGCTGGCAAGGACGGCTGGGCCACGATGCTCAACGACGGCTACGTCGGTCACAACTCGGTGCGCCCGTCGCTCTCGTCGATGCTCGGCGAAAAGACCAACAACATTTTGAGTGCCAAGGCGCCGCTCCAGGCCAACCAGCACTAGAAGCCTAGACATGATGTTGTGTCGTGGATGTATATAACGTAGTCGTTGGTTCTTTTAATGCAAACCACTCTTGGTACATGTCGTATAGTCCTGCATCCGGTTCATGTCGAGACGTGGGTCGACGGCTTTGAGCAGCAAGTTGGCGAAGACAAATGCCGCAAGCCCGTACACCAACATCCTTGACAAGCGCTTCGAAGGTCCAGTGCGGTTGCTGTGAGAGCTGCTGGCGTGCGCTTGACGCCGACGTGTCCTTGGTTACAAGCCACAGCAACGTACACTGAGTCCTCCCATCGTCCAGTGGGTGCAGCGTTAAAGACCAGCGGCGCGTCGCGAGATTGCAGCAGCAGTAGGTTGGGAGCAATTTGCGTACTGCGCAACCGCGACCGGTGCGACGGATGCACCCATCCTACGTCGTGTAGAGTGGCAGGCACCGTAAGCTACCAGCTACTGTACCGTAGCACCTTCGCCAAGATCTGAGTTTAACGTCCAATGATGTGATTGGCGCTGGTATGGATACCGCGTGGACCAATCAGCGACGAGAAAAGATACCGCATTCGAAATGGACGGTCCAAATGCAGAACTTGCTTCGACGCAGCGTCTCGTCGCTCCATCCATGTCTCTTTGGAGAGATACTAGTGTACTAGTACCGGTAGCCTTGTCATGCTTGACTATTGTATCTCGTACTCGACGGCTACGAGATAACACAGGAGCCCCCTATAATCGAACCTTGATACCGAGCGGTAAACAACCAGTGCCTAACGCGCTCGACGAAGACCCAAGTGAAGTCGATAGGAAGCCCCTGCATGTATGTGCTCAATGCCCTCTATGAGGTCCTTGGAAACTTTGTGATGACGAGCAAGCTTATGCACCCTCAGCATGTCGGCGAGGCAGCGACAGCTGCGTCTCAGTGTGGAGCGGCCGAGCTTGGCGCGGCCTAGCACTGAGGCATATCGAACGGTTAAAATACGCATTGGCAGCAATATACATATTAGTATTGTACATGTACACTGCATCTACAGTAGTCTGACCTGATCTTAGAGCTCGCGGATGCCGTAACCTACTTGCCCAAACCAAATGCTTTCGATCCGAAGCGAATTGAAAAGGGATTTAGCGCCAACAACCACTGTTTACAAGGGTTTAAAGCCGAGCCGAGTCTCATGCATGTACATCCTCTGCAAGCGAGTACCAACAAATCGTCTTAACGCGTCCATTCAGAGTCGTACAACGTCAAGTTGGCCTGGTACAGACCTTGTTGGCCTGGCCCACGAGGTTTTATACTCCAGTCAACGGTGCCACTACAAGTAGGACGAGTCGCCCTACTTTTAGCAAGTCCGAGTGGCGTGCACGTTGGAGACTACATTCGTTGAGATGTATACGATAACAGAGAGTTCCATCGCTCGAATTGCAGCAACAGCGAAGGCTGGTTGGAGCTTGACGTCTCCTTCACCTTTTGCGGCCCTGGCGCCTCTAGCACCTGATGCAGTCGACTACACTATACTGTAGTGCGTCGCGCCTGCTGAACGTGTGGTGAAGGGATCAGGCTTTCGGAGTCATGTTGGTTCCATGGATCCTTCCATCATGTCGACTCATACGCTGCGATGGTATTAGCTACCGTCGCGATGCCCAATCGAAGGCGTCGAACCCGACATGCGGTGCCCGCACCCACAAACGCGTAATTCCAGCACCTGTCCGTGCCCCACACTTGGTTTGTGACGTGGCGCGACGCGAGGCCACTGCGCGATTTCATTTGCGTACGTTGCCTGCGACGGACGCCCACATACTCTTTGCACAAGCTACAACGTAATAGCAACTCTAGTATTCTGTACAACTTATATTCAATGGACGAAACAGACTCCGCAGCGGATCCTACTGTACCCGACTGATAGCGAACAAGTCCAAAATGGATGGTCCAGATGCAAATTGTCTGAAATTGCACTTTGGTTTCTGCGTACCAAAACTTTAACATGAAGAAAAAGCACACGCCTTGTCGGCACGTTGAGGATCCATCCACGACGACTGACGTTCGCGATGACCTCCACGTCGTTTGGTGTCTCTCATACGACGCGAACAAAAACCAAAAGTCAATGCGTCGTTGGAACCACCGTGGTACGTGGTAGCGTGACACGTGCGAGCCGTGCCCCAAGACGACGCCCAGCCGATGACCGTGCCTACGCGATTTATTATTTGCTCGGGAAGCGGCATGTAACTTCCATGATATTATCCCTGCGTCTCTACGAGTCATTTCTCAATCGTCCCACCAGCACACATGGGTCTCCTCACGGCAATGTTCCGCACCAAGCCCATCGAGGTCATTGACGCCGAAGAGCGCAAGGAGGAACTGCCGCGTGAGCTCGGGCTCGTCGACCTCATCCTCATCGGCGTCGGGTCTACCGTGGGCTCTGGTGTCTTTGCGACGACCGGCGACATCATCAGCAAGACTGCAGGCGCTGCCGCATTTCTCTCGTGGCTCATTGCTGGCTTCTCGTGCATTCTCAATGGCTTTGCGTACATGGAAATGAGTTCGCTCGTGCCGTCATCCGGCTCGACGTACGCCTACTCGTACTACGGTCTCGGCGAGCTCCCGGCCGTGGTCGCTGGCTGGCTCTTGACGCTCGAGTATGGCATTTGCTCGGCCGGCGTTGCGCGCTCGTGGGCCGACAAAGTCCAAGAATGGGTCAAAGAAGGTCTTCCCGAGGGCTCGACGTCGGCAAATTGGCTCAACGATTCGCGCGCGAGCTTCCTCGGCGCGCTCTGCATGGCGGTCTGCGTCAGCATCGTTTTGATTGGCATCCGCTTTGGCAAGCATTTCATCAACGTTGTGACGACGATCAAGATCAGCGTCGTCCTCTTCATCATCATTGTCGGCTTCATCGCGACGCAACCAGAGAACTTCAAGCCGTTCGTGCCGCCGCTTGTCCCCGCGACCGCCGACGCGGCCTCGCAGTTTGGTGTCCAAGGCGTCATGCTCGGCGCGTCGCAGGCGTTCTTTGGGTACACGGGGTTTGACGAGGTCTGCTGCATGGCTGCCGAGGCCAAGAACCCGCGCAAGACGGTCCCGCGCGCGGTCATTGGCGTCATCCTCGGCACGATGGTGCTCAGCTCCTTTGCGTCGCTCGCGCTCGCGGGCATGATGCCGTACGACGCCAACCCGTCAAACGGCTTTTACTTCTCCGCGGGCTTTCAGTACCAAGGCTACAACTGGGCAGGTACGATCGTGCACATTGGCGAGGTCTGCACGATGCCGATCGTGGTCCTTGTCGGGTTCCTCGCGCAGCCGCGTGTCTTGTACGCGATGGCTGTCGACGGTCTCTGCCCGCCCATCTTTGGCAAAGTCGACAAGAAAGGCAACCTATTCTGGAACACGCTGATCACGGGCATCTTCTTCACCATCATTGCGCTGCTCGTGCCGTTCGACTATCTCTGGAACTTGGTCTCGCTCGGTATTCTGGTCGGCTTCAACATGACCAACTCGGCGCTCATTTTGGTCCGGACCCGCGAGGCCGCGCCGAAGATTGCGTACAAGCTGACCGGCGCACTCGTGGCCGTCTCGCTCGCCTCGATGTTTCTCTTCCAAAAAGGTTATGTGGTTGCGACCGAGCCTGCGAACGGATACCTCGTCGCGTCCTTGGTGCTCCTCGCTGCGGTCGTCGCCATCACGTTTGCGATTTACTACCTCTGCCCCCAAAACGTCGGGTCGCCCGACATGTACCGGTCGCCGCTCGTGCCGTTCGTGCCGGCGCTCGCGATCACGTGCAACTGGTACCTCATTGCGCAGATGGGAGCGCGGGACATTGGTCTGTGCTGCGGCTGGGTCGGCCTCGCGGTCCTCTCGTACTTTGTCTATGGCCACCGGTACAGCGAAGGCCAAAACGGCTGGGCCGCGATGCTCCACCATGAGTACACGGGGCTCAACTCGGTGCGCCCGTCGCTCACAAGCCAGATTGTCGGCGAGAAGAAGGACTCGATCCTCGGCTTCAAGCTCCAAGTGGCTACCCCGTCCAAGTAAAATTTGATGTCTAGTGTTTCTTAGTTTAAAAATGGCCAACATGCACCCCACGTTGCGTTCTACACTCGGTTGACGTCGAGCTTGTGTCGGAACTAGTACACACGCTTGCCGAAGATAACATTGCCGAATCTGTCCCTTCCCCGCATGGATGCGAGACATTTGTCGTCGCGACGGTCCACAAGAGAATATCCACTTGGATACACTGGATACACTCAAGTTTCTATCAAGGAAATTTGTAAAGTATCAAATGCGTGGCGCTAGGAACTCGAGATTAAATACATTGTCTCATATGCAGGTCACGGAATGGAAGAAGCTGCGAGATGTCCATAGCAAAGCGGGGCAACATTCGCAGCGTGGGTTGTCGTTGATAGATGCCTAGACCAAACCACCGTTTCAAAAACATCAAGTTGATACACAGTTTCTCAAGCGCCAATCGGTTTAAACTTGGAGAATTGCATCCTTTGGCAAGTGCAATTTGGTCCATTGCTCTTTCTGATGTCCGCTGATGGCCAATCAGCGACTCAATAGTCTCGCTGCAACGATTTAGTCGTCGCAAAAACGCCCTTCTGTCGGGATCGGAGATTTAAAGATTTAAAAGGGAGTTTTCTTTGTGTAGTAAAGTTAGTAATGTGTATTATTGTACACTATTGGAGCAGGAAAAATCATTCATATCGAAAAATCGACGCGCGTTCGAATTACTGTCGCATTCGCACCGGTAACGTTACTCGTGCTGTTGGGTTGTAGAGTCTGCCGCTGCGCCATGTATGCACAACGGCAACCTGATGTGCCAGTGCACATTTGAATTAACTGCGGTGGTCACATTCGCCGTCGCGTCTGTCGAGCGCACTCGGTGCCAAGGCGTCGCCGTCGACGACGACTCGCCCGTGACGTTCCTGCCTGAATTTAAAAAAGGCGGCTGCAAGACGATCGTCCAAGCTGGCAAACTTGGGCCCGTTGTTGCCTCGGAGAGTGGCTTTGTCCGTGGCGTCATGGAAGCATACAACAACCACCACGACCTCGTGCTCCGCCCCGACGACGTGTGGCTCGCGATTCTCACGCAATTCGGTCTGTACGTTGTCGCCAACGCGGACGAGCTCCGGCACTTGCTCGTGACGCACGACGGCCAGAAGGAGCTCACGATCCGCTCCAATGCGTCGCTGTGGACGGCCGACTTTGGTGCGTTCGCGACGCAGTGGGTCGACCTCATGGACGACCACGTCGTGGACCCGAGCCTCAAGCACTGGTTGCTTCCGTCCTTCTCGACGACGACGGACCACGACGTGATTGTCGCTAGCGTCGTGCTCATGGCGACGATGAAGAAGTACTTTAGCTACAAGTGTGGCTTTCTCTGCGGCATTCCGCACGTGACACTGCTCGGCACCGTCGACGACTGGAAAGCCATTCGCAACCGCCTCGACAAGCTCGCCGTGTATGGGCCACGCATGCAGGAGTGGACGACGCTCCTGGCGCCGATCCTCGACCAGTTTGTTGCATCGGCCACCGGCGATGTCGATGTGGCGTTCTGGAACAGCATTTGCAGCCATCACCATGCCGGGTCGGGCACCGACTACATCAGCGGCTGGCTCAGCGTCTTTTGTGTCTTCAACGACAAGGGCGAGTGGCAAGGAGACAAGCGAACGTTGTACGAGGTGCGAATCAAGCCCGATGTGGATCTATGCGCCTTGAAGCCTGGCGACTTTTTTTCCGAGGAAGTCACGCTGCCGTACCCCCTTGTCGACAGTGACTGTATTCCGCCAGGATACCTCACGGTCGACGTGACCCTCGACGACAATGGGACGGAGCGCAAGGCACTCATGTTTGCGGGTCACATGGGCTACGGCATCGGCGACGACAAGGCATCGATTGCACCGCGTGCGAGCTGGGCGATCGTGCTCAAGGACGGCGAGGCCGCACCACCGACCGACGACGAATTGTTCATCACCAAAATTTTGGAACAATTTAAAGTTGCGTCGGCGGCCAACTTCAACCCAGAAGGGGACGCCAGCTAATGCATGCTGTTTTTCTTTGTCAAATGCCAGTTGCAGGCTCAGACGGTGATCACCGCGTTCAGAGGACTTGGGTCGTCGGAGAGGTCGACCAGCTCCATGCACTCCATTTTAGAATACGCAAGAGCATGCATGGCGTCATAGTAGACGACTATGTTGGGCGCAGAAGCCACGATGATGTCGCTGCGTGTACAGGGCGTCGTCAGCGCTGCGTTGGCACCAATATGGCACTTCAAGGCCATCACTCTTCTCGCGGGCACCCAATCAGGAACGGAAACCTGGCAGTATCGATCGTGCAACAAAAGAATGTTGGTCACCGAACTCACTTCTGTTCCCAGTTCCGCTCGAGGAGCCGACATGGAGCCTTTCATTTTGTCATTTGCGATGCACCCGCTGCTTGCGACGGACCAAACCAACTTGGCCGCACTCACGGCGGCAGCGCGCGATGTGGCCATGGACTTTCTCCAGCGCTTACCGAGCGATGTGCCAGCCGCCCGCCCAACGCCGATGTCCAGCGCCAGTGAGCTGCCCCCCATCGACAGCAACCACGGCATCGGTGCCGCCGCTGCGCTCCACCAATTTGAAACGGCGTGGCTGCCTCGTCTCGCGGGCAGTGCGGGGCCACGGTATTCGCCATTGCCGACGTCACTTCGGTCTGACGCACTTACGGACTAGGTACCTTGGTTTTGTCACTGGTGGCGCAACACCCGCGAGTGTGGTCGGCGACTGGCTCACGTCGGCCGTGGACCAGAATCCGCAAAGTCACTGGGACTCGGACGCGCCCGAGCTCGAACGCAAGACCGTGCGGGCGCTAACCGACTGGTTTAACGTGCCGTCGCACGACGGGGCGTTTGTGACCGGTGCGACCATGTCCAACTTTGTCGGACTCGCGATTGCGCGCGAGTGGGTCGGCGATCAGCACGGTGTCGATATTAGTCACGACGGGCTCTGCGGTCTCGGACGCATCGCAATCTACAGCGCGCGACCGCACTCGAGCATCCACAAGGCCGCCTCGATGCTCGGGCTCGGGCGCGCCGCCGTGACGTCCGTGCCAGTGCTGCCGCACCGCGAGGCTATGGACGTCAGCGCGCTCGAAGTCCAGCTCGCGTTAGCACCCGAGACGGCGTCGATCGTGGTCGCGACATTGGGTACGGTCAACAGCGGCGACTTTGACGACATCCCCGCGCTTTTGGCGCTGCGGGAAAAGTACACGTTTTGGCTCCACGTCGACGGAGCATTTGGAGCCTTTGCCGCTCTCGACAAACGCTTGCAGCACCTCGTCGCGGGCCTCGACGGCGCCGACTCGATCTGCATCGACTGCCACAAGTGGCTCAACGTGCCCTACGACAGCGCGATCCAGCTGACGCGACGCCGCGATCTTCAAGTGCGCGTCTTCTCCAACGCCGCCGCGTCGTACCTCGGCGCGATTGGTACGAACCCGAGCTTCGTGCACTTAACGCCGGAAAACTCGCGGCGCTGGCGAGCGCTCGCCGCGTGGTTTGCCATCACGGCGTACGGTCGCGACGGCCACGCCGACATTGTTGTGCGAAATGTCGACGGCGCGCGCGCGCTTGGGGCGCGCATCGAGACCGAGCTCGGGCACGTGCTCCGGCTCTTGGCGCCGGTCCGCCTCAATATTGTCTTGTTTACCTTTGTTAACGAGGCGGCGGCAAACGAAGCGAGTATGCTCGACCTCCTCCAGCGCCTGCGCGACACGGGCGAGGCGTTCATGACGCCAACGTGCTACGACGGCACGTGGGCGATGCGCGCCGCGTTTAGCAATTGGCAAACCACCGCCGCCGACGTCGACCGCGTCTTTGCCGCGCTCCGTCGCGTCGTCGACTAAGGCGACTGCCGTCGATAGCGGTGCCACCGCCAGCACCTTTTGCATCGCCGCCAGCGCCGGTGCACCTTCTCTGTCCGCGGTGGCGAGGAAATCTACGCCAAATCACCATATGGTTCCCCACTATATTCACGTACCACGTTAGTAATAGGTCTGGTTTACTTGATCAATGTATACTATAGTTAACACTTAGGTCCGGTTGACTTACTTTCATTATACCATTGTTAACAGCTAGGTCCGATTAACTCACTAAGAGTATACCATAGTCAATAGAGGTTTGAAAACGCCCTGTCGCAACGCCATCTGACAGGGGGAAATGTGACTCACAGCACGGTCGCCGCGCTCTGCGGAATGGGTGGGAAATTCCCTTGAAGCAATTGTGCTCGTACGGCAATCGTATATCTGGATAATACGTCAAGTCTACTCCCGGTCTGGTTCACTTGCATGAAATATAGTATACAAACAAAAGGTAAACAAGACCTCATAGGTAGCAGTCCCATATCTAGAAAATACGTCGAGTCTAGTACGGTAAAGTCCCCTCTACTACCCGGTCCGGTTCACTCTATGTTAGTATAGTATACAAACAAAAGGTAAATAAGACCTCATAGGTAGCAGTCCCATATCTAGATAATACGTCGAGTCTAGTACGGTAGTCCCTTTTTCTACCCGGTCTGGTTCATTTGAAGTGAGTATAGTATACAAACAAAAGGTAAATAAGACCTCATAGGTAGCACTACAAAATGAAAGACGTAAAACGACCAAGTCATTAAACAGCAAGTGCAAGCAAAGACGAGATCATTTCTCGAGGTATCGGTGGTACATCGTGACCGAGTCCATGGAGCGAATGTCCTCGCCGAGCCTGTTGTTGCTGGCCTCCGCCATGTTGGAGGCCGTCTCGTCGTACGAGCGACCACCGGACTCGACGATGGCGTAGGTAACCCAGTGCTCGACTAGTAGATCGCGAAGAAATTGTACGAGCACTACATAATACACATGTATTACATATGCGGGAGATATCGGGCACTACGTACAAGGCTTGTGCTTGAGCTTGGCGTAAATGTCTATGCTTGAGCTTGGCGTAAATGGCTTCTAGATGGTCGGCACTTGAGCTTCGAGCGGCCATGTGCACGTAGCCTTCCTCCTCGAAGGACAACGAGATACCGGGCACAGACTTCCCCTCGACTTGCTTGCGGGCCCTAACGTTGGCGACAATGTGACGCATACACCACCGGTGTCAGGTAGTTGACATGGCGTTCTTGATCGCCGACATCAGACCTGCATGACAATGAGTGGGTACGGGTGGTAGTACAACAACATGTAAACATAAATGGCACCTTTGTCCCGGTCGGAAAGGAAGCAGGACTGAGCGAGGTCCATGCCGAAGAGGAAAGCCTTGAGTTGCTTGAGAAACCACGACCAGTGGTCGTAGTTCTCGACAGAGGCCAGAGCAAGGGCAACGACGAGGATGTTGTCGCTGTGGTCCTTCGTACTGGCCTGGAGGATCACGCCGCTCTTAGTGTACTCGACTTTCATATGACACGCGTCAAGCCCGATAATCGGCTTGACACGACGGCAACGCCGTTCGTCATCGTCTCTCGATAAGGTTAGGCCGTCCATGGCTTCAATGCTCGCTCGTACTGGTGCATGTACCGGTAAACACCGGCGCACACTGGGTCTTGGTCTACGTCGACATCGTCGGGCAGTGCGTACTGATTGGCGACTCGATGCGTTTCCGCGGCCCTACTGACACACTCGTCAGAGCAACCATCGGTATCTTGCAGATGCACTCCAATAAGAACCCTGCACTGTTTACCAGCTCAACGTACATGCAGGAGTCGATCACATGCATCTCTGGCACGAAAGGCGACCCGCAACCCGGAGTATGGCGCCCGTATACGGCAAGGACGTCCCAAAAGAACGCATGGGATTGCGGCCCTAATTGCATGTACGCTGTGATGAGCTTGCATCCGCTCGACTTCATACGTATTTCTGACAAGTACATGTACACGTACCGTGCTCACATGCTCAAGCTCGCCTGACTCCGCCAGATACCAGTCGCGATGGGCTCGGGCTTCGACGTCATTGAGGCCAAGACAACCATGGAGTTGGCGGGCAACGGCTACAAGAAGACCAAGCATCTCGTCTTTGCTTGCACTTGCTGTTTAATGACTTTGTCGTTTTACGTCTTTCATTTTGTAGTGCTACCTATGAGGTCTTATTTACCTTTTGTTTGTATACTATACTAACATAGAGTGAACCGGACCGGGTAGTAGAGGGGACTTTACCGTACTAGACTCGACGTATTTTCTAGATATGGGACTGCTACCTATGAGGTCTTGTTTACCTTTTGTTTGTATACTATATTTCATGCAAGTGAACCAGACCGGGAGTAGACTTGACGTATTATCCAGATATACGATTGCCGTACGAGCACAATTGCTTCAAGGGAATTTCCCACCCATTCCGCAGAGCGCGGCGACCGTGCTGTGAGTCACATTTCCCCCTGTCAGATGGCGTTGCGACAGGGCGTTTTCAAACCTCTATTGACTATGGTATACTCTTAGTGAGTTAATCGGACCTAGCTGTTAACAATGGTATAATGAAAGTAAGTCAACCGGACCTAAGTGTTAACTATAGTATACATTGATCAAGTAAACCAGACCTATTACTAACGTGGTACGTGAATATAGTGGGGAACCATATGGTGATTTGGCGTAGATAAGGGATTTCCTCCCGCGGTGGCACCAAACGTCGACGACGCGCGTCGGAAAGGCTGCCTCAATAAAGTATCTTTTTCAAGATACCGTGCCATTCCACCAACGCATTTGAAATTCAGTGCAGTCGACCCTCGGAGGGTAGTACACAAGTGT